ATTCAGAAATCGTGTGCGGTTGCCCCATTTGGTTGATAAAGCACTGAACAGGTTAAAACCCCGGGTTTAAAAAAAAAAAAAAAAAAAAAAATACAAAAAAACCTCGGGCATGCCCAGCCCGCTTGGATCCCTGCGCCTGGCCACGCGGTGCCAGGGTAAACACCCGCCCCCTTCCTCCCGGGATCAAAACACTTAGGGGTTGCAAAATAGACACCCCATGAAAGGAAAGGCACGCCACAGAAATATTACAGCTGTCCGGGCTACTTCTCCAGGGGCATGCCGGAGCCCCGGAGCCAGCAGCCGGCACAGACTCCCAGGCTGGAGCTGCCTGTGTGAGCCCTGACCCATCCTGGGGGGACACACACACACCAGCAAGCCCTTGCCCCCGTCCCCCTGCACCCACAGCCCTGTGTTGGCACCACCACGCTGCATCAGCCCCACAGACAGCACCTGCCGCCGGGCAGAGGGTCCGCAGCCCCCAGGGGATGCTGACACAGGGAGGTCCTGCTCAACCCCCACACCATCCTGCTCTGCCTCAGCCCCCCCCCGGCTCCCCAGGGCTGCCGCGAAGCCCACGGAGCCCAGCCCGGGTTACAGTAATTCCTTGCAAACCCAGAAAGTCATTTCCCAGCTGACGGGGCCGCTTTACTGTACTCGGCGCAGGCACAGTCACCGCCGGCCGCCCCACCACCCACGCCCTGCAGGAGTACAAGGAGCAGGGATTTTTCGCGAGTCGAGTATCTGGGTTTTGCTATCACTCGAGAGAGAGAGCTGGGAAACCCCACGGCGAAGACCTCACAGCCGTTTTGGAGTCAGCACTTCCCCTGCAGCGAGAGGGGAAGGTCCCTCCAGAGGCTCCGGTGCAGCCCTGCGTTGAGCATCCCCGGCCCCAGCAGTGCCGCCGCCACCAACATCCCTCATCCTGCCCCAAAGCATCGGCCTCGGGACAAAGGCAGGGGCACCGAAGCTGGCGAGGTGGCTCTAGTGACAACTGCTGGGGGGCCAACAGCGCCCGAGGGAGGACACCGTCAAGGTGCCACGAAAGTCAGAGCGGGTGACTGGCGCCCAGCACGCCCCGTTCCCAGCCCGGCTCTCCCGTGTCCCTGGGCATGGGCTGTTGGCACCTCTCGACCTGCACCAGAGCTCCTCCTCCACGTGGCTGCACACGCGGCACGGCACGGCCCAGCCCTGGGGACAAGCCCGCTCTCCAGGGAGGGTGACAGAACCCAAGGAGAACATCTCCATCCTCACCATCCAGCACCTCGAGGGCCTGGGAGCCAGGTTGGGTTGGGTTGTGATCCCGATGGCTTCAGGAGCACCCAGGTCACCGAGGCTGGTGACCTCGACACCTCAATGTCTCCCGCTCACCGGAGACGGGGCAGAGCCACACGCGGTGCCGGGCCCCACACAAACCTCCCTCCAGTGCAGGATCACCATTCTGGTGCAAACACATTGAAGCACGACGGCCAACCTTGGCTCACAATCACCACCAAGAGAGCACCACAATGGCCACCAGCGTGCCAGCGCAGGGCCACACTCCCCACCACGGGCTCAGAGCCTTCCTCCCAAAGCCAGGGCGCAGGGATGAGGAGGAACAAAGCTCCCACAGGGCACAGCTGGCTTCCTGGTGTCCATGATGGGGGGACAGGCTCTCCAGACCACCCCCACGGCACACATGGACACCGGCTACCGGGGCTCACACAGCTGTGGCCATGAGTGCCACCGGGGCCACGGCCCGGCCACAGGCAACCGGCAGGGCCAGCCAGCCCAGGGCCAGGGACGTCCTGCTGCCACAAGGTGACCATTGCTGCGGGGACTTTGTGCACCGTGTCCTGGCCGCGGACGAGCCACCCTGCCCCGCACCCCTCACCGGTGCACCCCAAAAACCGCCCCTCCTCACTCCTGGCCCCTCTCCTCTGCCACGGGCTCCCCGGAGCACGACGGGGTGCAGGGGGTCCCGCCAGGCCCCACCGACAGCCCGGGACCCCGCTGCTGCCCGTGCGGCCTGTCCCTGAGGTGTCACCACGGGCGGCAGAACCGGGGACCCCCGGGTTGCACCCCGGAGCTGCACCGGTGCCCGTCGGGGGGGGCCGTCGGGCATGAGGGCGAGGAGCCGTCGGGCACAGCGCCCTGACAGCTCCGGTATCCCCCCGGACAGGTGGCCCCGGGCTCTCGGTCACCCTCCCGCGTGCCCGGGCCAGCGCACGAGCTGGGTGAAAGGCCACCGGGCACCGCCGTTGTCCCCGGGGTGTCACCGCTCCCGCCCCGCACCGGGACAACATTTTCCACCCTCCTCTGGGGGCGTCCCCGTCCCCCCCCCCATCCCCACCCCCACCCGGAACCCCCCCCCCACCCCCCCGG